GCTGATGGAGCCAGAACAGCTGGGTCCGGTCAGATACGCCCAGTGGGCTTTGTTGCGGCAGCGGCAGGCGGGTTTGGCAGCGAAGCACGCTGCGTTGGGGATTGTCAAAAGATATGCAGGAAGCGCGAAAGAGTCGCGAGAGTGAGCCACTGTACACCTTAGAGCGTATAATAGGTGCAATACATGGATACTGAATAATCAAGACCACGGGCAAGCAAAACGAGTGTACAAAGATGGTGAGATATTATAGGGTACTTCGAGTAAGAAAGGGCTAGGGCTACAACTATCCTCCTTTGAATGCGACATCAACCTCTGCAACCTCCGGAGCTGGCGCCGAATCCATCACAACGTCCGCATCACCGACCCTGGTGTCCTCTGTAGCAGGGCGGTCGATCTCCATACCATTTGAGATGCCGTTAACCTCCTCTGCCTCTTCCTCTTCCTCTTCCTCCGCCTCCTCCTCCTCCTCTTCCTCCGTCTCGTAGCCTGGAAGAAGCCAAGGCGGCAGCTCAAAATCCCGGAATTCCTCCACCTCGAAAGGAACCTTCAAGCCAAACGCAGTCAGGTGCCGCTGCGTCTTTCTGACGTTAGGCTCGCCCGCGTTTCGTTTGGCGGTTGCGAGAAGGATGCACTGCGAGTTGCGTTCCCCTTTCTTCGAGGCATATATCGAGCCGTCTGCAGCATCACGGACGATATCGGAGTGGGTGTACGACTTTTGGGCCGATAGCCTGCGTGCCGCACTGTGCGATATCTCGCCATTCTCGTCCTGGATCTTGGGTATCTTGTAGGGCAACCAGCGCCCGTCGGGTCCGCGCTCCTTGTTGGAGAGATGAGCATGAGTGCTGATTGCCGAACCAAAGTCTGAATTTCCTTCTCTTAGCTGCCATTGGTTTATTATGCCAGCAGAATGAACGAACCTGGGTCTAACGGGAACGATGTGTGCCCGGCAATCTGCCGTATAGGCGACATCGCCAGGCCAGAAGACGACTTCAGTTTCTTAAGCCCTGCTATCGACGCAGACTGGATTTCAACGCTGGGACGCAGTCTGATCTTCAGCTTGATTTTTTCCGGTGACTTTCGTGTCGCCGCTCTCCGCTCCTCAACGTCAATCTCCGACTCCCCATCGTCGTCTGGGGCCTCTTCCTCTGTAACAGATATCTCTAGCTCCTGTTTATCGTCTTCTTGCTGCGCCTCCTCCTCCTTCTCCTCCTCCTCCTCCTCCTCCTCCTCTTCGTAGACAGGTGCCTCGGGTTTGGGCTGGAGTTCAGGTTCCACGGAGAACGAGGCACTCTTTCGCCGTGCAGCATTCTTACCCCTCTCCATCCACCTCCGATCAGGAGGCAATAGCAGGTTATACCGCTCTTCCAAGCCCTTCGCGATATGGAGCATCTCTTGTCGTCGCCGCTCGCCTTCTGCATGTGCGGCTGCGCCATTGCCACCGGGGAGCTCCTCATCCGCCTGCTTAGCAGACACTGGGTCGCTTGGTGTTGATAAAGCCGACACCGGCAGAGCAAGGAAGGCCGCGGCGTCCATAGCGCGAAGTTGGTCGATGCGCTCCTTCAGCTTGTACTGCTCGTGCTTGAGCTTCTCCTTCTCCCTGAGACGCTGCCGTTTTTCGAATGTCTCGTACTTGCGGTGTCGCTTTTCATATGCGGCGTCCAGCGTATCTGCCAACTCCTGTAGGACACAGAAGGATTATAGTGCGGAATAGCAGGTTGTGGATATGACAGCAATAAGTGTAGGTATACAGAGAGAGATAATGTACACGGACATCTTCGGACCCTCGAGGCCTGAACCTGCTACCAACGCTGGCGTCCTCCGTTAAGAGAGTATACTCGGGTGTTTGTATAGTTTGCTGCTCTCGGTAAGCCTTGATAACCTCCGGGCGGTCAAAGTATCGCTCGTAGGCGGAGCTGTTCAGTTCTATCTCGAAAGACGATGCCGAGGTAGAGGGTATAAGGGAAGAATTTGTTGTCAAGAAGAATCTCGTGTCGGCTGGTATTAGAGGTTCATTCTCGACTTCGATTAGGAGGTCAATTAGACTGTTCGGTTAATGATTGGCGAGGAACGTACACTTCCTCCTGTGTGCCTCCAGAATCATTACATCGACATCGCAGCTGCCTATCCCCGGTCCTCCTCGACGCGAGCGCGAAGGAAGCACTCGTTTCTGTCGCGTATTGGGAGTACCCCGGTCTTTTGCAACCGACGCCGGTCCGTTCGCGCTCGTGTCGGCGGCTGACGTGGAGGGCGTCACGTCCTGCGCGCGCTGCTTGCCAGCCCGTTTGCCAGATATGTTGTTGCTCATAGTCATAGAGGCACCAGAATATGAGCAGCAGCGTTGCAAGGGAGACCGTCAATACCAAACGCTACCGTGCCGCGTCGAACCAAGGCGCGCCGGAAACGTCGGTAATTTCCCTTTTGGGAGGGCCTGTCGCCATATATGTTGGACCTTTGACGTCACCTCACAGCTTTTCTTCCGAAAACTGTGCGCCATGTAGTACTTCCAGGACGACACCTTGCTTTCTTCCTTCATCTTTGAAGGTATGAGAAGGGATCCGGAACTTAGCAGTTGCGAGGCCGCTTCCAATTGGACTTGGGAGACGTTGCATTTTCGCTCTATAGAAATGAATGTCGCGACAGAGCTGTATACGAGGCCTTCCTGCCCCGCACCGAGCACTAACAGGAGCGGATGTCCAAGTTGTTGTGCAGTGTAGCGACACCTGCTGCCTTCCAGATCATCCACCAAGGTTCATACAAGCGTCAAAGAAACAGATTGAAACTGCAACTTGCGAATACAAGAATGAGCGCGGAAAAGCTCGACGTGCGCTTCAGGTATCACTCGGGTTGTACGACCCGCCATAACCTCTCCAACTTCCATTCCCAGTGTTACCCTGCCCAGATCCAGAGCCATAGGATCCATACTGCCCATATTGACCGGGCTGAACTCCATTGAACTGGTAACCATAAGCAGAAGCAAACCGCGGATTAATGTGTGGTTGCACGAAGGACTGTTGCTGATAACCGTATCCAGCATTGTTACCTTGGTATGAAGCTGTCTGCTGGTATGGCTGCATCGGGTTTGGCCAGTAATTGTTAGAGGCGTCAGAGGAATACGCAGACTGAGAGGCATAGCTCGCGCTATTGGCATACTGCCCTGTCGCACGAGCAATAGCAAGCGAAGCGGGCGATGCTGGGCGCGGCGTACGGGGATCATACTCTTCGTCGCCCTGCTGGTTGTAAGGCTGATGATGCTGTAAGTCCCTTGCGCCATCCTGAGAACCACCTGGGCGGCCACGGCCACGGCCGCGATTGGGCTTGTCACGACGTAACCCTCGGCCTCGTCCGTTTACTTCCCTACCATTGCTATGCTTCGAGTTATACCCCCTTCCGCGGCCCCGTCCTCGGGATCCTTGTTGGCCATAACTAGACGGGGAAGGTATACTGAAAGCACCCTCCTCTTTCGTTACAGAGAAAGACCGAGATCGGGGCGGCGCCGAAACCGCCTCGTACGCATCCGAGTAAGGATCGTCGTATGGGAGAGGAGCCGAACGTGTCTGAGAGGAAGTCGAGCCGACATTATAAGGGCTGTGCTCATCATACGGGTTCGACCCATATGAAAGATCACCAGCTCCAAGGTCTTGGTCCCGCAACTGGGCAGGAGTTGGTGTCGCTTGCCTTGACGTTGGTGCTGGAGTAAGTGACTGTCCTCGAGCTTCTAGTCGCCTGTTGACCGATGTTAGTAAAAGTAGTCAGAGAAGTCGCAAGTCCGCACTTATGCTTTAATTGTCGTTTGTGCTCGGCTTCTTGTTCGTCGTCAGAAAATTCCATCTCTTGCTCGCCAGGCTCTTCGTCATGCGCGTTACTAGCGTCACTGCCCTTGAGATGTTTCAATTCGTTTACGAAGACGAATCTACTTCTCTGTGGCACATGAAAGACGGCCCGTGATACCTCCACCTTGGTCAGGTCTATGGGGTAAGACTGATTGAACCTGACTTGGTATAATGGCTGATAAGTCGGACCAAAGGTCTCATGGATCTAGGGTTCGAAGATAAGTGGGAGCTTACGAAGCAAAACAGGGTACGCACATAACCTAACACCCTACGGTCCTCAAACACCAACAACGTCTCGCTATCGAGCGCGCTCTCATGAGCCTTTAGCGAATCCTGTGTGACCACACCTTGGACAACTACAACATTGTCTCCGACATTCATGATCCGCCCAACAAGCTCAAGCGACTCTTCCGGACCGACTTCAGAGATGTCCGGAATTGTGACATTGTAGTCAACGACCTCATGCTCAGTTTTTATCGCGCCGTTTGACGGTACAGAGTCGTCAAGCTCGTCATCTTCCTCGGCCGCTGGTTCCTGGTCCTCTGCCTTGCCGGCTGTGTCGCTGCCTCCAGGCTCAATATCCGTGTCAGAATCATCCGACTCAGAATCGCTGCTCTCCGCAGTTGTTGACCGAGACGGGCCAGACCTAAAGATAATGCATAACATGTCTCTTCATACGAAATACATAACTCACGCTTCAGATTCGTCTTCCACATCATCGTCTCTCAGGACCAATTTCACAACCTCTTCTTCCTCACTATCGCTGTCTGACTCCTCATCCGAACTTCCTATGGACATATCCTCTTCCTCTGTCAAGTCCTTCTCATCTGTTGGCGCATTTTGTGGCGAGGGAAGTTCACCAATCAGGTCTTGAATGAGAGTAAGGTCCTGCGGGATACTTGAGGGAACTTTGAACTGGCCAAGGGCCTCCATCGAAGACCAATGGGTATATCCTTAGAGGACCTACTATAGAAGGTGATGAGACCTAGGGGCGCGGTAGAGTGTGTGATACACGCAGACGTAGTAGGTCAAAGCCTTGCTTTCTCGAAATTCGTGAAGTGAGCAATGCTGACATAATCACCATGACTATGTGGGTCCAATTTCCCAGGATAATTTGAAGTGGCTGATCAATCGACAATGATATACTTTTTGAGGGGCACATGACAACATGGACCTGTAGCTCAGTGGTAGAGCGTGTGATTCCAGTTCAGGAACCTCCACAAGGTCATCCGTTCAATCCGGGTCAGGTTCACATTTTGTTCTGTTGCGCGTCATCGATCAAGGCCCATGTTTTGTTCAAACCAGTGGCTCATCATACGTCGGTATAAAAGCTTCCCTGCAAAGTATCCTCACCATCAAGCAAGCTAGCTCCAAATCTAGCCATGCAGTTGCAAAACGATCGCATGCTGTCAAGCCAAGGTAGTGAGTCGCTTAAGCATTATTTGAGTATATGCGGCTTTAGGTAGCCACGACCATCACGGCCCCCTAACGGGACCAATACTCTGCAAGTCCTAATCAGAATCCCTCTGACCGTCTCGAACCTTCTTATACAGATTGATGATCAGATCGTTCGCAGTTAATGTGATAATTCTGTCACGGCCATCAGTAGGATGGTATTCGGACAAGGAGAAACTCACGTATGCGGTGCAATCCGCAAGAAGTGCGCAGTCGACCCCTTATACCATCCGAACACGCCTTCCGTCTTGAAGGTCTTCCAGAGGCAATCGATCGGGTTCTTGTAGAGCGCGCCAACCCGCCGTCCGTTAGACAGGGTTCTGGTCGGTTGATTGTATACTCGCGTCAGAGCCTATCAATATCCAGGCATGAATCAGTTCGTTGTCCGCCATCTTTTCATGAGAAAAGACCCACCGTGTCTGCGGGCTGCATCACTAAGCACTTGTAGGGATGTCAATCAGCCCGTGTTACGGCCCCGAAGTCGAAGAGCTGGGGCAGCGTGCTACATACCACGCATGCACCTGACACGGAGCTACTGGCGAGGTATGTCAATGTGCTGTCCGCAGGTAACCATCCACGCGAGACAATTTGGTTCTTTGTCCAGTTATATGTTGGCAGTTGCACCTACAGACACATGAAACGCAGTCACAATGAGTGAGTCAAGATAGTGTAAGACATGGGGTGCATGGGCAAGACTGACTGAGGATCCCATAGCTGTCCGGAGAATGGCTGCGTCTATGCCTCTTACTAACCCACGGAATCCTTCCGCTCGGAAAATTGTGGAGAGAGCATCAAAAGAACTTTTGTAATGGTGTTGAGTGCCGACTGGGAGGGAGGGGGAATATGCCTATAATATTTTAGTACAGTTCGCACAGCAGACATGACCAGTTTCGCCCACCTGCATACGGGCTTTAATGAGGAACAGAGGGTTTCCCAATGATGCTAATGCAGACCAATATGAGTCAGATCAGTCCTTAGGAATTGGAACTATACGGAGTACGTACCCCCAACTGCACCACTGGCTGCTCCCGCAACCACAGAGGTGATAGGGATTTGTTCGGTTGGCGAACGGCCAATTAGACTGTTTATTGTATGCCGGAAAGGCTCATAGAAACCTGTAATACACACTCAGATCTCTAAGGAGGTGCATCCACAATAATTTCACCTAGTCGAGACCCATTTAGGAGAATCTGTGACAACATAAATCCCGGCTCAGCACAACAGCTCTCTGAGACTCACCTGATATGCATACTGTGGAGCATATGATAAGAAGCGTGTCGCTACAGGCGTATGGAATCATCACTCACTGCTGGACCCAGTCCTCTCTGCGAGCCTCGAATGCCTTCATTCCTCCACGTCTTGGCGAGCACGTCAAGGGCGCTCTTGTAGACTCTTGGTGCACCAGCCTTTGCGAGTTCACCTTGTAATTGGAGTCTTGTCTTGGCAACTTCTGCAGGATTGGAGAAGGTGACCTAGGTCAGGCGGTTAGACTCTATCGTTGACGCGCAACCAGAATCCGAACATACTGCTATGCATGCTGCAACGCCTCCACAAATGAATGCCTCCGCTGTGGACAGAGGTCTTGATGTCCGTGCTGTCGAAGTGCTCGCCATTGCAGACGTCGTGGCAGGATTCAAGAAAGGTAATGGACAGGCTCGGTCCGAGTAAGTTTGGTTTTGATGATGGCAAGCAGGACATATTTCGGCGCTTTCGGACAGCCATCAGGAGACCATAACCTTGCCTGTTTCCGGATCAGGAAGTTGGAATATTGTGGTCCTTCCAAATTCCAGTAAGACAAGGACGATGGCCGCAACCAATATTGGCGATGACGGGGCCTCGCACCCCGAGTTGACATGATTTTACTTTGTACCTCGAGCGACTTTCTGACGTGCATGCATATGGGTACCTGCTATGCGACGGCCGTCTTGAAACTGAAAAGGGATATCTAGAAGCTGCCGGCCGCTCTTCAAGGTCACCGGAGCATGTCATTGTCGCAGCCATGAGAAGTATCGAGTAGTTAAGAAGGTAGATAGGCCTCGTAAATAACAGCAACTAGGGTATGTTAACAATAAAACGATAAATAGAATTAGATCTGCCGTATTTGTTCTTATTTTGGCCTTTGTTTCGGGCAACGCCACACGGAGCGTACGCGCTTCGACGCGTCTCGCATTCCGAGTCTGATCCATTTACAGCCTCCTGTCTGCTCGTTCATGCTGCCTGCAGTGCCTTGTCTGGAAAGGCGACCAGCTACTGGACTCTGCTCATGCAGGTTCTGAGGTTCCAGGTTGCTGCTGGTGTTGTCTTGCTGGGTGTCGGGACAGTGACAACTGCTCGTATCCTGTCTTCGCGGCTTGCGCTCGCACTCCTGTCCCCGCTCATACTCCTATGCTTCGGAGGATCCTTTGTTGCATTCAATATCGCGGCTGCCTATATTTTGGACCAGAGGAGAGCTCGGTCTAGGAAGTCACTTCTGCACTCTGCGCGGCCCCTAGCGTTTTCGACCCCTGCAGCATGGCAGGCTGTCTTGATTCGTTCACAATGGGCCCACAAGTCACCTCAGTCTCTGTCGCCATTGCTTCCTGGGTTTCCTGTCGTCTCTAGCTCCATTAATGATGTTCTGATTTTGATCGTACGAGATTTCGTCTTGACATGGTACAAAGATATCTCAGGCTCCCCGTCTTTTCCAACGGCTGTTTCATCCACGCTCCATGCTTCTATGGAAAGACTGATTGAGCGCACTACCTCCATTGACCTTCCAAGTCTTGTTGTGAAACGTATCCTCCCCATGATTACGGGCCACATTGAGCAGTTCCGTCAATCAGAAGTTGCTCTGCGTGGACAAGCCTTAGAACGAAGACTGACACAGTCCGAGGAGCTTGATCTTCTGTTAGCCTCACGCTACGCTGGAAGGAAAGGAGGAAAGCTGCATCCTGCCGTTGACAATCTGTCATCCACTTTCACAAGACAGACGGAAGAGGCGCATCTTAGGACTCTTGTGGAGAAGGCCCTGCCTCATATTCTGCCGGAGAAAGAGAGTAATAGCAGAGCGGTGAAAATCGTAGTGAGGGAGATTGTAGCATGCGCGGTCTTCTATCCGATTATGGAGATGCTCTCGGATCCGGACTTCTGGAATCGGATGATTGACGAGGTGGTGAGTGAATGAACTTTTGGACTTATTGAGAATATATAACATCTTTGCAGGCAGGCGCGGCCATAAGACAGCAGTAAGTTTGATAGCTCGTGACTATGCTGCGTTAGGCTAAGCTAGGGGCAGGAAGCTAGTATCGAAAGTGCGGAACGTCCTAGAGGCGCAAGCGCCGCGCAAATCACCGCGAATGCCCTCGAACACCATCCTTCCGGCAGAAACGATTAGTATCCGCACGGATCCTCGGGGATTCGAGTCGTTCCTGAAGAGTATAAACCGCTGCTCCTCCTTGCTCGATGCGCGTCGCCTTAAGAGCGACATCCTTAGAGAGATACGTCGCACTCGTACACTGTTAGGTGGGTGTAACCTATAAGTCAGTCGAGTACCGAGGACTCACGCTATTTCCGAGTCAGCCAACCACGAGAACGAAGACTGGATCAACGGCGAGCGGACAGAGGACGTTGTCGCCTTCCTGGACAGGTTGTATACCGCCAAACGGAAAGTGGAACAGCGCATTGTACTGCTTGGCGGAGAAGATGATCCGGTAAGTTTCTTAACATCCAGCAATCGCTACTTCATGACACGGGGTCCAGCGACAAACACTGTACCAAGACCCTGGCGCGAGTTCCTCTCGTCTTACCCTTCGCGACGTCCTTACTAACCCTTCCTCGCTGTCGTACTTCATGGAGTTCATGGATCGGCATGGACGCTCTTTGCTCGTGCAGTTCTGGCTTACCGTCGAGTCCTTCAAGAACCCGCTGGAATCGGTCGACTCTGACTCCGAGGGCGAAGATCATGGGCACCCCATCCACGACCTTTCTAGGTCTAATACTGCGAAAGAGGACATCTCCATGGTGCAAGAACTGTACTTTTCGGGAGCAACTCTAGCGCCCGCGCTTGGAGCGATATCGCAGAAACACGTGGATTCCATCAGAGCCTTCGTGTCTCGTGAAGAGGAGGGAGGGCACGATCATGCTAGTGAGAGAAGCGCTCGGAGGAGCGTCATGCTTGCGCAAAGACAGGTGGAGAAGGACATGGAGGCAGACTTCGAAGAGTTCAAGCGAAGTGACCTTTGGTTCCGTGTGATCGGCGATCTCGAGCTTAGCAAGAAATCTGGAACAGAGAACACTCTCGAGGGACCCCTCAGAGCGAATACAGGCCCGTCTAGTGGTGTTAGGGAGGCAGACAGGTATCGCAGGCCGAATTTACTTGGCCCAAGGTCTGAGTCTATGCCCGTGTTTAGCCCAGTGCACACGCCGAAGCCACCATCTGTGCGGTCGGGGGGATCCGGACGGTCGGGGCGCTCGTCTCCTGACGGATCGCCTGCCAGTTCCATAATGGCACCAACGCGACCATCACAGTCTACATTGGACAGTCTCATGTCATCTGCGTCAGATCCTGCGGATGCGGGCTCTCGTGCGCCGCTATTTGATGACCCGGAGGAGCAGGCGCACTTCGACCGCGTCGAGGCTATCCAGGCCGCTCTGACGGATATCATTGCTCTAGACAACGAGCAGGAGAAGAAACCTCAGGTCGTGAGGTCTCCGGTTGCTGCTCCCAGTCAACGGTCGGACACGCTAGGTGAGGAGCGGAAGAAGCGGGTGCTGTTTGAAGATGAAGTGGAGTCCGAGGAACGGAACGATGACCAAGAG